CCCATAGTTGCTGCCTTTAAGTGTATTTTTTTTTCTCGTGCTCACTGACAACCCCCCGACAATTAACTATACGTGGGACACTGTAAGATGATTAAGTATAAGGTTGTGCCAAATGAGAAATTAAACTGACTACAGCAGAGAAAAATATTGTTCATTCGTAATAATCTTGGGCGTAAAAGTCAATAAGAGCAAGTGAGTTACTCTGAGACAGAAATGTGAGTCATTTTTGTTGTAAAGTTGGCTGCATCCCTTCTTTTTCATGCCAGGAGTATGCAGTCGCTGGCAGTGCCAAGCGGCGATGCTGGCCTCTTGCATTGCGCTGGCAGTGCTGAAACCCACCGTGACCGGGGAGGGAGAGGGGCTGGGAGGTTAGCCTTCCTCCCCGGGGCTGGGGTGGCCGACCAGCGTCTTCACCTGTGTTACGGTTCTTTGGCACTCGGTAGGCCAGGGCTGCTCCGGGTCTGCATCGCTCGCCCCTCAAAGCTGAGCTTGGTTCTGCTTGCTGGCCCCACGGAAACTGCAAGGTCTGCCTTGCTCGGAGAGTGCCGGGCTGGCGTCCGTCCCCTCGGGCTGGCCAGGGCCCGATGTGGGCACCGGGACTTTGACCCCGGCTACAGCTTGTTTGCATCCCGGAGCCCGCGGCCCCGTGCCGTGGTGGGCAGCACTGGCGTCGCAGACAAGACGCTGGGCAGGCTGCACGCTCGAGGCCACAAGCGAGGATGTCAGAAGTCGGTGACTGTGTAGCATCATAGCTGTTGTAAGAATGGCTTCTTTACAGCATTTTCTTTCTGTGGCTCAATATGTTGGTGTTTTTTTTTTCAATCTCTCCTGCTCGCTGTGCTCTGCCTGTGTGTGGTAATGCAAAACCATCTATTTCCCCCTGGTCTTTGATCTTCTCTCGCAATTACATATCAAACGGAGTTTGAGAAATGTCAGGTTGAGGCTCTTTTTATTAATGTACGAGTGCTGCAATGGTGTAAACTGTCCTTTGAAGCTGGAGGAGCTTTGAGTTCTCATGCAAATGTTGCATATGTGGTTTTGAACTTGATTTCTGTACTGCATAAAGCTTTGCAGATTGCCTCCGACGTTGCATGTCGGTTAACCGGCCTCCCCAGGCAACGCAAGTGTTTTATCCTGAAAGGGTAACATTATGAAGGAATGTGTAGAGGTGTCTATGCCTGTGAAGCACACAGCAGCCTGTAACAAAAGGGTTTAGGTGGGCTTTTCCCCAAGAACGGGGCTGAATGGGGGACCCCGGGAAGGTCCCACCATCATCCCCTTCTTTGCCGGTCCGGCACCGCGGCTCCGTGTGCGGGAACTCACTTGTCAGCTCCGGGGACTCTGCGGTCCTCAGCATGGCAAACCTGTTCTTGACAAGTTTCTGTGCTGTTGTTGGAGGTGATGCTTGAGGGTTTAATGCTTTGGAGTGTAGCAAACAGGGTGTCAACAGAACGAGGTATTTTAATGAGATTAAAGCAGCCCTGGAGCAGCCTGTCTGCCCGGTTCCTGCAGAAACCCCATGTGCTGGTTCACGGAGAGTCTGTAGAGAGAAAGGCTCGAATCTGTTACTACAGTGCGTTACGGCCAGGTATTGTGTCCAAACAAACCTAAAGCTCCTCTGGAAAAGGGGGAAGAGGATCAAGTCTGTCCCACACGTGCCCTTCTGCTGGCACAGGAGAGGCTGCCGCTCTCCAGGCAAACATTAGCTCTGTGCTCCCGGCAGAGCTTGGCATCCAGGCGCCTGCATTGAAAATACCCTGTCCCACAAAGACAGCTTAGTTGTGAGCCAGCATATGGTGCATTAATGAAGATGTGCATAGAAATTGTCCGTGTGGATGCACAGAGGCCTTCTGTCTCATGGAAAGCCGCACGTTAAACTGCCCAGTATAACCAGGGAGTCCAACCATGGCTTGTGTAAGCAGTTTCTCTGATGCCACTGACTGGGCAAGTGTGAAGGGGCTGCTTGTGTGCCTGGGTCAGTAATGCGGCTGCTGCTGAATGGATCTGACTTCTTAAAAACTGGTCTGTCCTCTTCTTTCTCCTCCGGTTGTATCCAGCAACAGTCAGTACCTGAGCCTTGACTTGAATGGATGGAGGATCAGATCCTGTACCAGTAGGCACGGCTCTCAGAACAAAGGGTTGGCCCTGGCTGGGTATCATCAGCTGAACAAGGTCTCAGTGGCCTCGTTAGCTTGGCCAATCTGCCATCCCTGAGTTTGGAGATGGCGTTGGTCATCGCACCAGCTTGGGGCGAACCTCAGCCCCAAGCTGCGGAAGGAGCAAGGGACTGAATGCTCCAGCCTGGAGCGGGGTCAAGTTCAGCCGAGTATCAGCCCCGCTGCTTCATCAGTCGCCTTCCAAATGAAGGACATTGGGGAAAGCATCGTAGGGAAGAAACTCAGAGACAGATCAGTTGGTTGTCCCTGACGCTTTCCCACTGAAGCATCACTGAAGTCTTTTGTTTCCCTGTGGACCTGGTTTTCTGCCTGTGCTGGTGGCACTGGGAGGAGCTGCCTTGGGCTGGGTCTGCAGATGGGGACGGCTCACTGCTGCGGGGACACCTTCCCCCTTTCTCCTGGAGCACATTACGCTATAGCAGTTAGTGTTTAGCTGTTTCTGGACTTTAGCAGGGGAAAAATGACTTGCTGGAAAATACATCACTCTCCTCTGGCAATAATGTATTCTCCTTGTACTTGTCTGCTCCTTGCTGGTCTTCTCCGCCCTTGCTGGGGGTTTCATCCAGTAAGGGCTCCAGTTACTGCTGATAACTTTTAAAATTTTCTTCTAACTTCTCAGCTCTAGTTGTATGAAGAGACATCAGACTTATATCCAGCTTTAAAACAGTCAGTTGCTTTAGGGCGAAGTTGTGTGGACCTAGATACCTCCTAGACCTAAACCAATTACACTCGGTAAGTTAAAGACATTGAGGACGTGCTAATTTAGCCAGGAACCAGGATCCTCTGCAAAAAGAGAAGCATGCGGTAAAAGAATGAGAATGTCATTTTGAGGATTTGGAGACGTGTGTGCTCCTGCATATCACTGTGCTACAGCCCTGTGAGCTGTGGTTTGCACCATCTTACGGCCAAGGTGATAGTAGAAACATCTGGAAGCTGTTCACACAGAGACCTTGGGAGGCCTTGAGCAGATAAACTGTATGTGTGTATGTGTAGATCTGTATGTGGGAGAGACCACAGTATTCTGCAGTGCTGGTAACATGCAATACTATTTACAGAAGTGATACTGGAAGTACTCTGGCATCGCTCACCTAATAGGATGTGCATAACGATATCAACCAAATGTGATTGATTCCACTGAAAAAAATCGCATCACCTTTTTTTTCCTCTATGAGCCTGTGTTGCCGCTGTTGAGTGGAGCGGGAGTTTGAATTCCCCATCCCCTGCAGCAGCTCCGAAACGATGCTAAACCTGCAAAAAGAGCTTCTGTGTCTGTACGTCAGCGCAGTGGACTTCAGCTCACGTGCTGCCAGCCCTGCTCTCCCTGGCGAGCATCCGCGCTCCGTGGGCATCCTCCGGACAGGTAGGAAGAGGGGACTGTCCTTGGAGCCAGCAGACGATGAAGCAGCTCATTTTCCTGGGCTGTAGGCACTGTGCACAGAATCTAGGGCCCCAAGTTGGTGCAAATCTAAATCAGACATGCTTTAACTAGAAACTAAAAAACAGCAGCAAAAAAAAGAACAAAAAACCCTTCCAAAAAGCCACCCCTCCCGCCAGCCACCAAAGCAGTATCTTCAGATGCAGGCAGGAAAAACGAGGAGCATGCACTCTATCTGCCTACTCCAGTTGCGAGGCATATCTTACCCCTTGTTTTGGAGCTTGTTGATGTGTATTTGTTAGATTTTACTCTAGGCTGGAGCAACTTACTTGCCCCGCACATCAGCACCATTGTGTTTGCTTTGCCTTGTGGCTGGCGCACAGGTAACGTGGCTGCTTGGCGGGGGCTCCCGTGTGAGCTGCGTGGTGCCGCGCTCCGTGGGCGCAGGAAATCCCGAGGTGGCCTCGCTCACCCTGCCTCTGCCACCCCTGGGAGCCAGGTCTGCCCCTCCAGCTGGGTCGGTGGGGTCCCCGGCCTGCTCCCGAGAACTGCTGGCTTCTGCTGGTTACGGTGGCTCTGTCCATGTCCTTGTCGCCCGCACGAGCGGTGCGTGGGGCTTGGTTTGCTGATAGGAAGCCCAGGGCAGGAATATCGGCTGGGGTCGCTTCCCGC